ACAGCAGTGGCAGGTTAATGGTTGGACTTGATGATCTTAGAGGTCTCTTCCAACCTGGATGGCTCTGATTCTATGCCTCTGTTCCACAGAGCTCTTGGCTTGTGGTGCTAATTAGTGCAGGAGCTGTTGGAGAGTAAGAGGAGTCAGTTGGCACAGAGTGAATAATTGACACTAAATAATGCTGTGGAATGATCTCTTGGCTGGGAGATTGGATTAGCAGCAGAAATTGAGTTTGGAATCTTGATTCTCTAATGACCTGTGAAGGGATCGGTTGCCTTGCTCTGCTTCGTGACAATTCCTGCTCAGCTGCTTGGTAAAAGCTCTTGGGTGTTTGAGCTGCTCTGGGCAGTTGGGGTTTGTCAAGTGGTGTCACTGCTCTCCCTTTGTTGTGGAGCTTGTTGTTGCATGAAGGGTTTGCAGAAGTCTGTTGGGTAGGCCATGGATCATGGATATGGAGGGAAATGCTGCTGTAATATCTGGCTCTGTAATATTACAACACTTCTATTAATAAAACATCATCTACAATCCCTCTGCACCTGACAGAGGGTCAGGAAATGGCACCAGTGCCAGTGGAAGGATGTTGTAGGGGTGGTACTACCAGCTTAAACATTGCTGGGCTTGGGTTGTGTTTCTGTGGGCAGATCTGACTCCAGGAGGACAGAGGAACTGTCTTGGTGACAATAATCCAACATTCTCAGCAGAAAAAGGTCCCTGCCCAGGCAGAGACAGTGATAGCAATTCTGGCTCAGTGTCTTTTGTCAAGGAAGTGGTTTTACTGTCCCTTTCTGTTGCTTGCTTCAGCCACACAGCATCTTCCATCCCCAAGTGTTTCTGCAGAGCTGTGCTCTCCTTCCAGGCTGCAAACCCACCATTTCTGCTCTAAGTCAGTCTCCTTACAGCTGGAGTGAGAACCTCTAATACTCCCTCAGCTACAAACTGATTTTTCTGGTACTCTTTATAACCACTGCCCCAAGCCAGGAACACAGTTAAGCCCTGCAGACTCCCATTTGAGGGAGTCCTTAGGACACATAAAAGCTGTTCCAAACCACCAGCTGATTTTCCCAGTATCAATATTTTCTCTAGGATATTTGGTGTCTCTTGGCTCCTGGGCAAACACTGCTGTCTGCCAATGGACCTAAGACTTTGCTGATGATGTTCTTTGGTAGCTGGAGTGCCTTGGCTGATTTGAAAACCTGGACAGACAGGTCTGGTAGTTCATCACAGTAACAGGTTGTGAGCTGTCACATCACTGTTCTGGCTAATGTGGTGTCGTTAAAGAGATGTAAAGACACCAGGCAAATTTTGTCAGTGGAATAAAGCTTGAGAAAAGGGCAGTTTCTCAAAGATGTCACTGTCTGTGAGCAAGTTCTTGGCACAAGACACTGCAGGGATGGAGTGGCAGCATCCCTCTGGATGGATCCTCATTCCCTGCAGCATAGCCCAGTAACTTCTGTCCACAAGGAAGCCTTAAACTGTGCCGACCTTAAAGGAAAGGGCAATCCAGACATTCCTTTGTCATTATGGACCTGGAAGTAGAGTGGGTTTTAATGTCAGCTGTGTCTCTGGATTTTACAGAAAACAGAAATGGGCACCATAAACCATTCTGCGTGTTCCAAGGGATGAAAATCCCTCTTCTTGTCCAACCCCTCTCCTGTATCAGCCTGGACTGATGGTGGCTGAGTGCCATTTCCCAACGCTCAGGTTCTCACAGTTACTTTGGATCAGACTGACCCAGCCAGCTGTAGAGCTGTCAGGTCCTTTTTTCTCCTGAGTAATCACACCCACCCTGGGCTGGCAAGCTGGGATAGATTACAAGAGGTGAATTCCAGCCTGAGTGCCTCCCACGCTTTCAACCCTCATCCAAAAAGCAGAGGAGAGACACCCCTGGCTCGGCCAGGGCTGCTTCCTGCACTCAGAGTTGCTACACAAGGTTTAGTGCTGCTGCTGAGATGGGATCCAGGACTCCTGATGCCTGTCACTCTGTCTTTTCCATTTGATTTTTCAACACCATTTCTACTGTCCTTTTAGAAAAAAAGACTAAAACTTGGAGCAATGGCTTTATTTTTGTCCAGTTGTTTCCTTGTGTCATGTTATTATTCCAAGTGCAAATTACTTTATGCTTCTACATGAGAGGAAGGTGAAGCATGTGGGTTGAGTGGTGGCCATATGCCATCATTTCTGCTCCAGCATGTTCAGTGGTTTCACCTCCTGCAAGAGATTCTGAAACCTAGAAGAGATTTGGGAACTTTGCAGGGAACGTTTTCTTTGTTTGGCTCTTCTTGAGCCAAGAGGGGAGAAGGCACATTAATTTGGGTAGTTACCTTCCAAAGAGAGAGCCAGGACTGGAAGAGCATGTACTCATGCATCTTAAGCTCCTCTGTCTATGGCATTATTCAGTGAGGCCACTGCTGTCAAAATATTGTGTCAGGTGGCAGTTTTCATCAGATACTCAAGTTAGTGTTTGGACTTAAAATAGCACCTTGTTTGCTTCATGTTCCCCCAGTTCTTAGGCTGAAGAGCTTACACAGCTGAGTCTGGAAGGCAACAAAATACATCCTGGCTGGGGGATAGAGCTTTGGATTTCCTACTGATTTGCAGACGATCTGGTATAATGGTTTTTTAAGTTATTAATTACCTTTTTTCTCCTAACTCTTGTTTTTCCAGGAAGTGGGCTATCAGCATGGGAAAACTGTGTTTAATGTCTGGTGCAGGAGTGGAGTCCTTGACAAGATGCTGAAGGACAGGCAAGAGACCTGCAAGTCCAAAACTGATGTAAGTGCTTAGTGAAATGCACTGTTCTGTGAGAGCTGCTTGGGGCATGTGAGATCACTGCTCAGGGCTGGGAGAGGGAATGGTGTCTTTGCATCAAGGTCTTATTGTGAGCTCACAGGGATTAGTGAAAACTGCATTGTAGGCAAGAAGAGGAGTGAGCAGTTCTCCAGAAATGTCTTTCCTTGAACCACAGCCTGGATGGATGAGGTCCTGCTCTGCTCTCACCATCAGTAGCAGTGTGGCCAAGGGGTGCTCTGCCAGAGCCCAAGCCCCAAAGCCTCACTGTCCATCCCTGGTAGCTGATGTGTGCCCACACAGAGACCTAACCATACCCTCAGCAAGTGCCATGGGGGTCTGGCACCCCCAGAAGTGCTGCAGTGCTCTGGAGGGAGGCTCTCCTCTTGCTGTTTTGTTCTAGCAGGTCCTTGATACCATGTTTGTAACCTAGAATTGATCCCAAGATGTGTCCTTTGGCACTGGAATAGATTGTCCAAGGGGGGTGGTGGAGTCACCATCCCTGAAAGTATTTAAGAGGTGTCTGGATCTGGTGCTAGAAGATATAGTTTAAGGGTTACAGCAGTGACAGGTTAACAGTTGGACTTGATGATCTTAGAGGTCTCTTCCAACCTTGGTGATTCTGTGATTCCTTAAGGACTAGGGTTATTCCATGCTCCTGTGAAGGAAGGCAGGATGCTCACCAGCCACCTGCATTTTCCACGACACACAGCTGATGTGTATGTGTTTATGTGCCCACCATTCCCTTCTCCTGCACCCTGTGCATCAGCAGCTGGGAGAGCACTGGGAATGCTGGCTGAGCTGCCCCTGGAGCAGAGGCTGTGCCTGTGCCCCACAGGTCCTGGGAGGTGATGTGTGGGATCAGGTGATGGTCACACCTGTACCCATCACTTGAACATGGATCTGGACTGCCTCCCTGAGTAACTCTGGGCAGGCACAGAGAGTTATTTTCCATTTATTCTTGTGCCACAAGCTTTAGGTGGTACCTGGATATTGCTCTTGCTACTAGAAACATGTCTGCCAGGGCAGTGGCTCTCTCCCAGAAGGCATGAATCAGGATGGTTGGCATTGATCTCAGCCTCTGCTGCCTTTCAGGATGTGACTCAAATAATTCTTGGGTGCTTTCAGAAAACTTGATTTAAACTCTTGCTGGAGATGTGTTCTAAGCCAAGAGTTAAAACCCTGCAGGGATGCAGCATTCTTGCTTTGTTGCTTGTGTTCCTCACTCCTCTGTAACCAAAGGCATTTTGTGGAGTCCTCAGTGAGGCTCTGCAGAGACCTGTGGTGCTGTTGAGGTGCTGAGTGTCACTCACCTCATCCTGCTCACTTCAGCACATCCCAACAGCCACTCTGTGCCTGATGATGGTAAATGGCTGTGTAGTGTTGCCAAGTCATTACAGATCTCTGCTCACAAGCAGTTAAAAATCTCTTGGTTTTGCACTTAAGGGCTGAGCTCAGCCTCTGCAGTTGGTTCATAGCTCAGTGGCTGACTGGATTTCTTGGCATGGAAGTTTCAGTTGTTTTTAAGAAATAACTATCACTTTTTTTGAGGACTTGAGTACAATGTTATCATATATTTCCTGACTATCCTTCCCCTCCTTTGAATTGCTCTGGTTTGAAACCCAAGTGCTGCAAAAACTTCATGTTTTACCCAGTAATTCTTCTTGATAGTCTTTTAGAGGGAGACAAGTAAGCAGTAATATTTTAAGTGATGGCCAAAATGAATCATAACTGTAGTGAGGCTCAGTGAGGAAAGGCATTTGAGGTGAAAAATGACATTGAGGATTTGCAGCTCTCCAGGGGTGGGTGGTAGAGCACTTTGACTTGGAGTGAAATGGTGAGAGGAAGGATAGGACTGGCAGGGATGGACATTAGCCCAGCAATGAGGGGGGAATGATGCCCACATCTGAGCCAGGTGCCCTCAGAGCCCCATATGTCATCAGAGAGGTGAGCTCTGTGGGTGTGAGTCACTGAAGGAATGGAAATGGCTCCGTTGGAATGACATGAAGGACACCCTCAGCTCTGTCCACATTAGGGGAGCCAAGGGGACTCACACTGGTGACTTCCCATCATCAGATGAATCCCAACCAGACTGCATGGCAGGGTGAGTGGCTTTGGGAGGAGCATGAAGGGAATGAGCTTTGGGGGAAACCAGCTGGTGATCCATGTAACCTGAGGAGCCCCCAAACTCCTCAGCTTGTGATTTCTTACTGGGAAGATAACCTGGGTGAGGAGATACATTAATATGAGCTGCAGAAGATGAGTCCCCAATCTGCCTCTGACACCTTGTGATCAGGCATTTTGAGCTGGTGTTCAGGTTTGTGTATTAATAGTCATAAGGAGAAGTCAAGGGAGGGAAAATTGTGTGTGTGTGTCAGAACTGGCTGTGTCCTATTTCAGCCTCACTTTCATCACCAAGTTCTAACAAGCTCAAACATATTCACTGCTGTAACAAACGTGTCTTTTAAAGAAAACTGCTTTTAAAACTGCCTTTTATATGGGGCACAGTAATTCAGGCAAATATTTCAGTTAAATCGTGGTATCACAGCTGTGCATCCAGCAGCATGTTGAACCTTTATCACATCTACCCTGGGCTTTGTGGCACTTCACTGCCCTGGAGACCAAATATGTCACGTCCCCACTGCAGACACACACAGCCTGTCACTGCACTGCTGAGAGAGCCCTGATAATGAGGCAGCAAGTGCTGATTGCTGAGACACCAAGAGTGTGGAAATAACAGGGTTGGGAGAGTGAGTCACCCAACTGCCAGGGTTATAGAGAGGGACCCATGGCTTTGTGCATCCCCCAGCCTGGCACTGAGGCTCTGTGTGCCCAGGGATCTGGGAGATCATCTGCTCTTCCTCCAAAAGCTCTGGAATCCAGTAAAACTCAACATTTCTTAGTCTGATTTTGTTCCAGTAGATTTATTTCTGCAAAGTAGCAAGTATTGCAGCTCCCACTGGGCTGTTTGTCTTGTTTTTCTTAGTCCATTAGAGTCACTTAAGTCCTTTAGCTCTGCTATCTTCCAGGGATAACAGCTGATATTTTTAACTTGCCTTTCATTAGCAAAGGTTTTGATGCTTTATGTGGTTTAGTTCTTCATCTATTTCTGGAGTGTTCAACATTTGAGAGCTGAGCACAGTTTCTTATCATCTTGTTTCCATGTCGTAAGCATTGAATTTTTATTTAAAAATCCAGGTATTTAATGATTTGTATACTTCTCCTTTGCTTTGATCTTCCAATCCCTGTTTAGCTTGTCTCCAAAATGCAAATACTGAAGACACAAACAACAGGAACCTCACATAAACCTCACTTTGAGCAACCCTTTCTCTCTCCCCCAGCACAGAATGCTGCAGTACTGTTAACTGGATCTCCTCGGGCAAGTTTGGTCTACTGAAGTGTTATTCATAGTCAAAGCTAAATATAATCCAGCAGACTACAATAGTAACTGTCTTTTTCCTCTAATTTACTTATGAAAGATTGTACCAAAGAGAATAATTTCCTCCTTGGAGAAGAGATAGGTTCGAGAGTAGGTCTCAGATGGATCTGAGACACTTCTTTGCCTCATGTTATTTGAGGAGAGTGTGGTTTTTGTCCTTAGAGGTACTGAGAGGAAGCACTTAAACCTTAAATTCCTGTTTGTAAGGCAAAGATGAGTGTGGGAAGGCGCTTGGTTCCCACAAGTGGTTTTCCAGGCCCAGTGCTGAGGCTTTGGGTGTAGCTGCTTCCCCAGGTGTCCTCTAACAGGCTGACCACAGCGTCATCCGTGGGGCAGTGGCAGTGACAGATGCTGCCTTGGATATGGTCACATTTAGTACTTGAGGTGGGTCTCACCAGAGCAGAGCAGAGGGGCAGAATCACACGTCCCTTGCTTAGTTACGTGGCACAGATTGAAGATGTAGGTAGGAGCTTTGCTTCCCTGTCCTGGCAAAGAGCCTTCTCCAAACGTTTTGCTGGGACCATTCAAGTTGGATGCTCAAAATGAGACTGGGCTGACTCACCCTTCCTGACAGTTCCTCAACGCTCACACTGAGCTTCTGAGCTTCTTTGTGTTTGAAAGTGTGTGCCCTAAGCTACTGCTGTTCCATTCCATACAGGTATTGTTTAATTCCCTCTGGGCTTTTCTCTGCCCACCCTTGCCCACCAGCTGTTTGTCCTGGATCTGCACTGAGCTGTAGCTGTTCTAAATTACATCAAAAGTCAGTTAGAGATGAAAGGTCAACTGAGAGCACTCTGCTGCAGCAGTAATGGGCTGCTGCTGTGACCCCAGGGGGGTTGTATGATTCATAGGATCAGTGCTCTTGCTAGAGGAGCAAAGAATTGTTCATAAAACCCTCTGTTAGGAAACTGGTCCTGGAAGCACGTGGGCAGGTCTGGGCATTTGAAGAGACAACTGTCCTGGCAATTTCCAGCAGCCCAGTGTCAATAATGTGCTCCCTCCCAGTTCTTCCCCATCCCTTTCCTCTGGGGTGGGAGCTGCTGTTGCACTCCTTAAAATCACTGGGTTTAAACAAAGGTGAGAGTTGTTCAGGTGTCCACCTGGTGACCTCATGCCCAGCCCAGGTGGGGCTGCTCACAGCACAGCATGTGGGGAGACCAAAACAGTCCTTAAATGCCAAAGTTGGGTTTTGTTAGAGCAGAAACTGGAGCAAGAACCTCTCAAAATAGAGAACACACAGCCTACTGCATGGGTGAGACAGAATGAAAATAGAAAGGGCTTACTGGAAAGAGGAATTACAGTGGGAAATGTGTCTCTCTGCAGACCGTGTGGCTCAGGCTCTTGCTTGCTGCAGCACCTCCAGCTCTGTGGCTTGCTGGGGTCCCTGGGGCAGTCCTGGTCACCCCAGTGCCCACCTGGCTGTTCTCTCTCTGTGGCATCACTCCAGCTGAGGGCTGCACCGTGTGCATGTCACACCTGGGCACGGGACTCCTTCTCCTGTGGGAAAACAGGAGCTCCCTGGGGGCTGCACCTGGCCCAGCCAGTCCCTATTGTAGAGTGACCATGAAGCAGAGCAAACAAGTGAAGTGAGCATCACTTATGGGGCCCAGAGCCTCCAGTTTGCGTCTCTGGGGTCCTCCCTACAGTTTGCTAAACTTTAAATGAGGAATAGGAGCCATTAGAGCATGTCCCACTGTTGGCACTTGGGAATCCCATCCCTGCCACCAGACCAGCATCAGGAGAGCTGTTTTGAGACTTTCTCACTGATGAGTAATGGCTCTTGAGGAGGCAGTAGGGGAGAATTTGTGTGTCTGGAGCTTTGTCTGTTCAAGATCATTTTTATACAGTCTTGACTTGTTTGGGTTTTTTGTGTATATTTGTTAGCACATCTCAAACTTCTCCCTGTGTTCCAGAACGTGACCTGTCCCACCACCTCCTTCACGGACCTGGCAGAGATCGTGTCCCGCATCGAGCCCGTGAAGGCGCCCGTGGCAGACGGTGAGTGGGGAGTGCTGGGAAGGGCAGGGAGGAGGGATGGCTGCTCACTCCTCCAGTGCCTCCTCTGCCTCCTTTCTCCTCGCCGTGCTCTGAGCTGTGACAGCCCAGGGCTGGCTGCCAGCTCCAGTGTGCTGGGCACTGCTGGCTGCAGTGGGTTGTCCCCTGCCTCCCCCAGAGCCCCTGCAGCTGTGCCCCAGGCCAGGCCCTCTGTGTCCCACTCCTGCTGCCTCCTCCAGAACAGGCTGGCAGTTGGATGTCCTTGCCTTGGCAAGACTCCTGCTGTTAGCCTGGTGTACTCCAGCATGGTTTCCTGGTGGGAGTAATCCCTGCTCAAGTCTCACTGGAGTGAGCACAGCCAGGTGGGCACTGGGGTGACCAGGACTGCCCCAGGGACCCCAGCAAGCCACAGAGCTAGAGGTGCTGCAGCAAGCAGCAAGAGCCTGAGCCACATGGTCTGCAGACAGACATATTTCCCACGTGTGGCTCCTCAGAGGTGAGCCTTGGAACAATATGGAACAGAGGTGACCCTTGGGCTGCCCTGTGTCCTTGCGATGGCTTTGCCCTTCAGTCCCTGTGCTTTTGAGACAGGAGAAGGTTGAGTTAAAGCTCTGCCTGAAGGATGTTTTCCCTGCTATAGTGAGTAGGATCAGGAGTGACTCACTGGCTCCATTGCTGTTTGTGTGCTCCTGTTACAGGAGCACCAGTGAACTAATGAGAGCAGGTAACAGCTCCTGCATCGTCACACAAAGGCACTCGAGTGCCCTGTGACAGCCAAGCCCTGCAGAGCAGCTCTGTTTATGCCATAACTGCAGCTCCTGTAGCCTAAAGGATCAGAGCTCTGCAGGCCTGAAACCCCCCCCAAGCATGTCACCAGGGCTGGAGCTCGTTCTAAACAGTCTCTTCCCCTCCTCCTGATTCTTGTTCCTGCAGAGGGAAAGCTAAAGTTAGCAGTGCTCCCATCTGTGACTGTTTGCAGAGATGTCCCTGTGGTAATTTGAAATGCTAATTACTATCATATGCCTTATGAAGAAAATATTAATCAAATGTGGTTAAAGCAGCCATTGTGAGCGAGAGTGAAGAGTTCATGGAACATGGTTATTTAAGGCTCAGGCTCTGAGACCTGCTAAGATTTAACCAGTGCACTGGGACAGATCCTCCTCCTTTATATAGTTCCTGATTAATTCCCCCCACTAGCACATCCTACTTTCTGCTTTGCAAGGCTATGGACACAAGTTGTAGCAAAGGGATGTGTCTCAGAAAGCAGATGTGGCACATTTTAGGCTGAGGAGAGCCTGTGCAGGGGCTGCTGGAGGCAGGATGGGATGGGCAGGTGCCACATGTTCCTCCTGGATGCTGAAATCCGTTGGCTGTAGAAAGCCCAGAGGAGGGGGAGGATGGCAGGAGAGTGGTGCATGTGGCACCATGTTGTGAAGGATCCTTTGTATTCGTGTCGTGGGTGACTCCATGTGCTGCCTGCAGGGACTTCACCCATTTTTGGGTGGCAGAGGCTGTTCCTCTGAACACAGCATCCCCACAGTGCCTCAGAGATGGCATCTCTTTTGCTAAAGAGGTACCTAGGGCCATGGGGGAGGAGGTCTGTGGTGGTGAGCTCAGGTGGATGATGAGACCTCCCTGGCAGTGGTCTCTGGGCTGTCAGACAGCTCCTTGCATATGCTGGTGAGCTGTGGTGGTGGTGAAGATGGTCTGACTGCTTGTGGCCCATGCAGGTAGGAAGACAGGGGGATTTTTGGTAGCCTGGCTGTGGAACAGCACTGGCAAAGAGGAGGAAACCTTTGTTCATGATTTTCCTTTGAAAATCTTCTTTTTCCTGTGGAAATCCCTTCCTCAGAGAGGTCTCGGACCACAGGGATGTAGGAAGCCTCTGCCTGTTCTGACAGCACACCACAAGGATGCTGGGGGGAGAAACTGTCAATAGTTTTGTACTAAGAAAGCAACTGAAAAGGCTCATGTTCTGGTGGATGGGGAAGGGTCAGCACAGAGGGTGAGAGGCTCAGGCAGGCAGGAGCTGTGTTGTCTTTGGTGGGAAAGGGCACTGGAGTTTCTTCTCCACAACTGAGCAAACTGAGAGAAGAAACTATTAAAGAAAATAAAGGAAAGGAAACCTGTCCCTCAGGCAGTGCTGAGCAGAGAGCTGGTGCATGACTGCTGGGATGCAGGTGGGGAGGTGTCTGTAGTGGGACAGCAGCTCATTTCACAGCCCCTGCAGTGGCAGTTCCTGTCCTTTAACAAGAGCTGGGTTTTATTTTGGCTTCTGGCACCTTGGGATATGCCTTTAGACACAGGGGTTTTGCAGCTGGTCAAGTCCCTCTCTTGGAATTTGGATTTGTGCCATTGGGATACTACACTGTCCCTCTCCCATTAGTGTCACGTTATGCAGGGGAGAGCCCTGGGGCTGCTGGAGGTTGTTCATCACCTGCAGTTCTGCTGCCTCACTCCATTCTGTCCGAGCAACAGGATATTGCTTAGGTGTCATAACCATTTTAAACAGCATCTCCCAGTCCTGTGGGGCTCGGTGGAATGAATCTGCTATTCCTTCCACCAAGGTCATGGTAAAGGGAGAGGTGAGACCATGGGTCTGTACCAACCTCTGCAGTTCTGTTCAGTTTGTAGTTAATGGGCCCCCACTGAGGAGGTGTTAGCTCAGACGTGAACGGGAAGGCTCCCAGCAATTTGTAATCTCCTGCCTGTCTTGCCTGTTGCCAAACATGGCCCCAGTGGCCAGGGGTGGCAGGTGGAGGTTTGGTTCTTGTTGAAGATTTACGATCCCTGTGTTGAGTGGGTCGTCTGGCTCCTGGGCATAAACGGCATTTGCTGGAGCACTGGCACAGTGAGGCCTTTTCCTCCTCCCCCTCCTCCTCCTCCAGGGAGGTGCAGTTGGGATGGGTTGGGCAGGCCCAACATACTCTTTCAGAGCCTCATACACTTGTCTCCAGGGGCAAAGTAACAGACAAGGAGTGGCATCCCCTTTGGTCACGGTCCTGTGATCGGACCCCAGTTTCATCCCATGTACTGGTTTCATAGACATCATGTGAGTTCATGTGGGGGTTGTTACCACAAACCCAGGCAAGCAATGTCTTAAGGTCAAGCTCAGTCACTTTCCTATTCTGCTTGTCAGGGATGCATTTCAAAACCACCACTCTGCTTGTCTGCTCGTGGCTCAGAGAATTCCCCATCTCCTTCCCAGCCCCAAGGACGTGGGTGCACCAGAACTTCCTCACAGCTCACTCGTTCAGCTGGGCTACGACACCTGTCAGTCAGTTTTCCTCCAGCCCCACGTTGGGTGCTGGTTGTGGTGTACCAAGACACAGCCTCAGGTCGTGATAGATGCTGAGACAATTTATTGCTAAACAGTTTCATATTTATATCTTTCACTACTCCTTTCATCCCCCCAGCCACCTGCCTTACTATAGCCTTTTGAGGGCATCTCACGTGCTTATCAGCTCTGTTCAGCTTCCTTGCAGCCATTCCTTGCCCCATGGTTCTGGTTCTGGCTTCTTTCACATTCACATTCCACACCTGCCCTTCTGACAGTTCATTGAGTACTGCAGTCTGTACTGTTCTGTGGCTTAGATAAGGAGATTGCAGTAGTCTCTTGCTCCACACTGCACCTACACTCCCTCAGCTGGGACCCCCTGTCTGCTCAGCTGCAATTGCCTTTCACACAGCAGTGGCTGTGGCCAGGGGAGCACAGGTACCACCACCCTCCAAGGGTGGCTCCATCACATCCCTGGGCACACTGTCACCTGAGAGGGGATGCTGAGGCTGTGTGGGCTCGTGGGTGAGTTGCCACAGCAGGTTTCATGTCCCATTTTTTCAGCCCACCATGCTGCAGGCTGTCCCCAGGCCAGGTCTTGTGAGGTAACACCCTGACTGAAGGAGATTGAGTCACTTGTAGCAATGGTTATTTGGATAAGAAGATTTGTGGAAGAGAGATGTTAATGGTGATGTCAAATGCCTGGGTGTGCAATATAGCTGAATCAGGAGACAGCTCAAAACCTCTCCAGGGACACAATTATCAGGCACTAGGTCACCCTCTAGATCTTTACTGCTTCAAAAGTACTTTTATGAGGCAGCACTAATGCACCTGAGGCTGTGCTGAGCTGACTCTCAGGGAGGCCTGAAACAGAGCCCCTCCAGCCACACAGTGCTGTGTGCCTTCAGGTGGGGTTTGCCTCCAGAAATCAAGCTCATCTAAAAGAAATGCTGGCAGCTACATGATGGCAAAACAGATCTCTGGGCAGGGAAGTGTGACCTTCCTGCAGGGAATATGTTTCCCCTGCTCAGGGCAGGCTCAGGCACCTTTTGGTGGTGGAACCTCCTCTTGGCTGGCACATTTTGAGCTGTGCTGTTTGGATACTGGGGAGCTGAGCAGAGCAATGAGGCCTTGGTCCTGCTTGATGCTTGTGGGAGCTGTTGTAGTGAACAGGAGCAATCACTGTGAGCCTCAGACTTGAGTGGGGTGATGGAGGGTGATGTTTGGGGGCAGCAGGGCCACCTCCTTTCCCCCCTCCAGCACCCACAGCTGCTGTGTGAAGGATGTGAGAAGGGACATCCCTCTCTTGGTATTTCTGTCTGAGTAGTGCTGGGAAAATCCAGGAGTTTGGGTTTGATGGCAGTCGGTTTTATTGGAGCTGTAAACTCCAAACTCTTGTTTGTGGTGTCTGCTGCTGCTTGGATGAGTTTCCAGTTTCTCTGGTGTGTTTTGTCAAAGATTATCATTAGTGATTTTAGTGGAAACTAACAACAATTCTCTAATTCACAGTTTAAAAAAAAATGTAAAAATAATGAAATATAAAAGACCAAATGTCTTTAATCCCAATGTTGGAGCAGTTGGTTGTAGTTACCATGTTAGGGGAAAAGGCTGTGGAACAGACTGTGCTGTTGTCTTCAGTGTGGAGCAGATGCTATTGACAGCTCCCAGGAGAAATACTTAATCAAGGATCTGGTTTAAACATGAGCCACTTTCTTCTCCAGTGGGCTGAATCTCAGGTATTGCTTCAGCAGCTCAGAGCACACTGGAATTCAGTCAGGAAAAGAGGTGGAAGGACTAGTGTCACACAGACATGAATTTAATGCTAACAGTAAAATGCCATTTTCATGCATTAACTTTTATTCTTAGGAACTGTGTTGAGCTGTTGTGGGCAGTCAGCCCTGTCAGCAGGCAGAACCACAGACTGGTTTGGGTTGGAAGGGACATTGAGACTGCCATGAGCAGGAACACCTCCCACCAGCCCAGGTTGCTCCAAGCCCCATCCAACCTGGCCTGGAACACTCCCAGGGATGGAGCAGCCACAGCTTCTCTGGGCAACCTGTGCCAGTGCCTCAGCACCCTCACAGGGAAGAATTCCTTCCTAATAGCCAATCTAACCCTACTCTCTGTTGGTGTGAAGCCATTCCCCCTGGTCCTGTCACTCCATGCCCTCATGAGGCTCCTCTGCCTGTTTTGCAGACCCTCCAGGCAATATCTGGGTGCCTGGGAGTGGCATTGGCTCTGCACTGATGTATCCTTGTTCTGAGGGAGCAGGCTGGGCACTGGGGGTTGATGGTGTGTCCTGCTGCTGCACACAGCTCTCATCTTCCCTAAATTATGTTAATCTGCTGGATTACTGGAGAAGGGAGGGGATTGTCCCTTATATAGAGGAGTGGAGTCTAAATGTCACTCCCCCCCTGCCCAGAGATTGTGAGACACTTAATTATCAGCTCCACACCAGAAGAGCTTCCCTTTTGCCTGGAACCCCTGTTTCCAGCGAGTCTGTGACTGCTGTGTCCTTCTGAAGGTGTTCCATGGGTTGGACTGAGAGGTGGGAGTCAGCAGCTGTGCTGGGAAGGGCATTCACCAGGGAGCATCCCCCACTGCCAGCATTTGTGCCCCTCGGGCTGGGCAGTCAGTGCCCACCAGGATGACATGGACAGTTGGACAGTGTGCTGCTCTTGCTGTGGGCTCCTTGGATTCTGGAGGGCTCTGGGACACCAATTCACAGAGAGAACATGGGTTGTTTTCACGTGGCTGTAGAGCTGATCCCTGTGTTAGAGCAGTCACTGAGCTGCAGAGAGCTGCTGGCAGTCGCCTGCCCCACGCCAGTGCTCAGTGGTGGCAGCGATCGTTCCTCTCCCAGTTTTCTCTGCCCCTCTGCCTGCCAGTTAAACCCAGTCCTTTCTCTCTTCTCTCCTCAGATGAGTCAGACTACCAGACTGAGTACGAGGAAGAAATTCTGGACAATCAGAAGGATGATTATCTCGATTTTATAAGCAACCAGGGTGAAGAAGACTCTGACTCGGTACGAACTGCCCTGGAAACAGGTGGTGCCTGGTCATGGCTGAGCCCTGGGTGATTGGTGTGAGGTGGAGGTGTTGGGAAGGATACTGAGAGGAGCACCTGGGTGGGACTGGCTGAGGAGGACTGTGCACAAATGAGTTTGCTTTTTGTTAGTACAGACACTAAATGGCATGTGCTCGCTCCACTCAAGCCAGTCAGCTGCAGTGGTGCTGTGTGTGGCAAAACCTGGCCACGGGTAAATCCTGGCCCCACAGCTCTGTGGGTTTGCTTGTGAGGTGCATCAGGGCTGGAGAGACTGAGGGAGCTGCTGCTTCCAGCTCACAGGAGAGGAGCTGAAGGGAGGATGTGCCAGCTGCCTGCAGGGTGGGTAAGAAGGTGGTAGTGGTTCTGAAGAAGGCAGCATCAGAGATGCCCAGCAAAAAGACAAGAGGTGACAGGCACAACTGGTGCTAAAGGAAACTCTCAAATACTGCCCTGGATGCACAGCTGGGACCCACCACAAGCTGTGCAGGGAGAGGGTGGAAACTCCATTCTTGTAGGTACTTGAAAAGCGAATTGATGTCGAATTGAACCAGCTCCAGCACTAGAGTCAGCACTGCTTAGAACAGACAGTTGGATTGTACCCTCCAGAGGTCCCTTCCAGCCAAAGGGGTTTGATTCTGTGGGACAGCAGGTGCACCCTGTGTGCTCCCACTGTGAGACTAGGTGTGACCTGAGCAGCAAAGCTCAGACAGGTCATTTCCCTGCTGCTCTGACTGCAGCCAGAAGGGCCTGTGGGTTTAAAAGGTGATGTTGCCTGTTGTGTTAATCACAGAATCATAGAATCATCAAGGTTGCAAGAGACCTTTAAGAGCATTCAATCCAACCATCCATCAGCACTGCCACTGTAACCCCTAAACCACTAAACTGAATCACCCAGTGCCAGATCCAGATGCCTCTTAAACACCTCCAGGGATGGTGACTCCACCACCTCCCTGGGCAACCTATTCTGTGCCATGAACAGTTTCTCAGCTGGGAGCACAGGATGGTGTGGGAAGTTTCCCATGTGAGGGTGTTGGGTGGCTTCGGTGTTCTGAGTGAGGAGCTGCAGTGACAGTGGCTTTGCTGGGCTTATCTGAGCTGGTGGGAAAGAAGAGGTGGAGGGGAAGGGGATGGATTTTAGTGGTGGGAAAGAAGAGGAGGTGGAGGGGAAGGGGATGGATTTTATCCAGCTCAGAGAGGATGCTGAGGAATTAACTAGCTCTTTCTTTGCTTTTCTCCTTCAGGATGAAGACATGCAGCTGAGAAAGCGCAGGAGTGTCCCCAGCACGGACAGCCAGGCAAGCAGCACGGGAGAGCCAGGCTAGAGAGTGAGCTCACTGGCTGGGAGCTGCTCCCTACCCTACTGACAGCAGCCTATTTATTTATTTAACACTTCACAAACCAAAACAACACCTAGATGAAACAAAGCAAGAGTTCATCCTTCTCCAGCCAGGGACAGGCACAGTCTCTGTGTCGTGCCCAGGTCCCCGTGGAGCTCTGGTGAGGGGTGACTGCTGTGTGCCATACTCCTTTGTGCAGGTGCCAGGAGCAGTGGCCAGTTAGCACTGGGACTGGCAGAGAGGAAACATGCAGTGAAATGCTGCCTTGATTTTTTTCTTCTGTATGTTTTAGTTGCTGTTTTTTACTGCCAAGGCCCAAAGAGCACCAGGATCTTACCCTGCTGTGTGCTGGAAAGGCTCCAGCAGCAGCACTGGAGACAGGGAGGGTTTGTGGGTCGTTGCTTTCTTTTCATACGATTCAGGTAACTGTGTAATTAACTCCTCAGTGACTTCCAGCCACGTACGTGTGAGCAGTGCTCTGACAGGAGCAAATCTGAATGTATTTCACTTGAAATCTAAACCTAAGAAATCCCTGTGAGGGGTGGCCATAGAGCCTGGATCCTCGAGGCATCAGCACAATGTGTACTGATGGATCGTGGAGCTGACACTTGCTGGGCAACCCTGGAATGATTACTTGACTGTATTTGCCCTGCGAAGTAAAGTTATTTTGCTGGATGGAAATGTCTGTGTGAGTCTTTGTGTTGGGTCCTGCAAAGAGAAAGGTGTCAGCAACTAAGAGCCCAATTTGCCTTTGTTTATGTCAAACATGCACACACGGTTGTTCCACAGACTCCCAAAGAAATGTGTGTGGTTCCCAATTCCTCACCCCAGCAGGAGTCACGCTGGGTATTGTCGAGCTCTGGAAAGAAATCTCCAGTGCTCCAGTGCTGGAGCAGTCGATGGGAGTTGGACCCTGTTCAGACATCCCCAGTGTTTGCTCTGCTTGTCTCACATCTGTTGTTGCTGATAGCTCCACTTGGCAGAGTAACCAACCTAATTCTTGCTTTGTGTAAACTCTCCTGCTCAGCACTAGCTCTGGTGCTGTTGCCTTGAAGGGATTTGTCATCCAACCAGAGCATTGAAGATGCTCCTCAATGCTGCCTCCTTCCCTGAGCTCTCCAGGCCCCTTGATGTCAGCATCAGCTGCCAGCGGCGATGCCTCGAGGCATGACCAGAGCTGGGCAGCACCTTGAGGCCAGAAATGTGTCTGGTGGCACCACCAAGGACTGTGGTTGTAAATGCTGTCAAGTGTGACCTGGTCTCTGCATTTAAACTCCTCTCCTGGCACAGGCTCTCCTCCTCTGCCTGGACTGTGTCATGTTTTCCTCTCTCAGAATCACAAGATGGTTTGGGTTTGATGGTTAGATGGTTAAAGCTCATCCAACTTCACCCCCTGCCATGGGCAGGGCCACCTTCCACTAGCCCAGGTCCAATCCAACCTGGCCTTGAACACTTCCAGGGATGGGGCATGTCCCTGAATGTGCAGCCTGTGCCCAGGGAAGGTGTTCCTCTTACATAGAAAGGTATTTTGAAGTGTCAGAGCCCCAGGTAATTGTTTTGTTCTCCGGGAGACTCCAGTCCCCACCTTGGTGAGACCACCCAGCCTGGCTGCACCTCCAGCCAGCCCCAGGCCCATCCAGAAGCAATGGAAGTGTTTGGAAACCTTCCCTGCAAGGATCATCCAGGTTTTTGCTGCAGATTTTGGTCAATGCAGATGTACAGAATATGTTGCAGCTGCTAGAGGTTGTTCCTCTGTACTGCAAAGAATTAGTTCTTACAAAGGAAAACTAAAACTGGCTTTAGAGGTGGAGGTAGAGCAGCCAGAGGTTTCTGTGGAGGCACAGGCTGCCTGTGGGGCTGGAGAGATGGAATTTCTGTTCAGGCTGGTTACAGGGTGGTGGTGCTGGTTGAGTGCAGGTGAGTGTCCACCTGCCAGCAAAGTCTGCTTGGCTTCAGAGCTACTCTGAGCAAACGTGAGGAGCTTGTCTAGTGCAGCAGCAGCACAAATCAGAGCTTTGTTTTCCTGATGAGGGGATGCAAACCAGATGTGAAGCCTTTCAGTGTCTGTATTTATAGGTGGTCACAGTTCAGGAACCTTTCCCAGGAAAACAGGGATTAGGGCTGGAGCACAGACTAACCCCAGAGATGACTGAGATCCTCTGGCTGCCCTTTGAGCCTATGCAGGGCCATCCACCTCCGGAGGACGCAGCTAAAACCAGAAATGCATTGAGCAGAGGTGGGATCAAACCTCCTGGCAATGGACAGGTTGTGTTTGTCACACACCTGTGCTGCACTCCCACAGCTGTGGCCAGTTCTGCATGTTCCCTCTGCCCCAGCCTGGGACAGGATGGGCACCAGAAGGACGAGAGGTCTGTCAGCCTGAACCCAGCTGCTTGTTCCACTGCTCTTGTTCCAGGAGTGCTCTTCCCTTCTCTTCAAACAGGAAATTAACTTCCAAGCAGTGTATTTCAACTCCAAACCTCCTGGCAGCCAGGTGTGCTCCTGGAGCACATGTGGGAGCTGCTGGGCTTGGTCAAGGAGTCACAGAACACAAATACTGAGCTCCTGGGTGTGCTAATTAGAGCCTCTATTTGCTTTGTGCCCTGTGCCACGGGGAAATGGCACTTAGTTTATGAAGACAGAAGATAAACTCAGAATGTGAGGCTGAAAGTCTCTTCTAAGTAATTGATCACATCTTTCCTCCCCGCTGCACCCTTCAACACTGAGCCCTGGACATCAAAGCAACCTGTTCTTCCATGCCAAGGAATGTAAAACAATAATAGTACAAATTTACCAGCAAAATTGTTTTCCCAGGTTGCTTTGCTGGTGGTTGTGTCCTGCCCAACTGCCTGGGAGGGCAGTAAGGGGTCCCAGTAGTGGGTCAGCCCCATTCTGCTTTTGTACCCCGAGGCATCCAAGTGATCGTGTGTGCAATTCTACATCTGGAGGTTTTAATCAGTTCCTGCTCACCTGGACACCAGCCCAGGACAGCAGGGCAGCTGAGGGGTCAGTGCTGCATTGCTCTGTCCCCAGGCTCTGCTGCGAGGGTCCCGTTGCAGCTTTGATGGAAACACAGCAGGAGGAGAGTGGTTGGAAGAATCCAAGGCTCCTGTCCTGGCTCTCCTGGCCCAGGCCACTGTCCTGCCAGTCCAGGTGCTGGCTTTGGCTGGAAAGCACCCTGCAGTTATCTTCATGGGTGTGTGACATCCAAAAAAAAAAGGTGAATTCTGGAAGAAGCTGGATGGATTTGGCCTTGATGGAGGAGACAAAACAGCTGGAGGTGAAGAGGGTATGGAGCCTGTTCCCACAAGAAGCCTGATGCTAGCTAATGCCAACCATGAGACAGCAAGATCAGGGCAAGGTCCCGAGGAGCTGTGGCCATGAGCAGTGGCTGCAGTGGGAATGTCCCTCAAAACCTTTTGCTGATGTGTCTGGTGGTTGCCCCTTGCTGGGGGTAAAGCCTTGACTGAGCTTTCAGAAACCCATCCCAGTGATGGATTCACAGTGGATCCAGCCCCCATCCTGCTCAGGGCCTGGGCTGAGCCCCCCAAGCAGCCACTGTTGGGGGATGAGGTGAGAAACACCCATGGCACTGCCTGTGCCTCCCGTGGGCTCTGTGGTGACCAGGGCTGCTGCATGGAGGAGACACATCTGCACCAAGGTGGGGATTTGGGAATTTTGCAGGACTCCAGCTCTGACCGCAGTCCCCGCAGGGGAAGGGACAGCTGATGGCACAGGTGGCATCCATGCCTGGTGAGGGGATGCATAGCTGGGCTCTCACGGTGCTGGTGAGTGGTGGCACTCCTGTCCCTGTGGGCAGCACCTTGGGGCTGACCTGCTGCAAACATCTCGGTGCAAGTACCAAACTGAGTTGCTTCGTTAACTGCATGAGCTGTGGAGCTCCTAGAGAAACTCCCCTGGGGTTTAGGAAGAACAAACACTGTTGCCCACATGGCACCTGTCCATAATCTCCAGGAAGCTCTGCCTGGGCAGGGGGGAGAGCTTTGATCTTGTGCCAGTGAGCTCTGGCTCATGCCTGGCTGTTTGCACCAGCTCCTGCTGCAGCTTCTCAGGTTTCTGGCCCTGTGTGGGGCCGAGGTGTCCGTGCAGCCCCTCCAGGCTCTGCTCCACAGGCAGGAACAGCCAGGGCCATGGTGGGCCGATGTTCCTTCCCCAGCAGACGTCATCCTCCCTGCATATTGTTCCAAAATTAATCTCCTCTCGCTTGCTCGTGCTCCCTGACCTCCTCCGATGTGTGATTTTCCTTGTGTGCTGCCTGAGGACTGTTTAAACTGTCAGGACATGGAGGCTTTGCTGTGCCACTGGGTTCATCTACTGAGGCTGTAAGAGCTGATAAGAAAAGCAGCAAACAAGGACTGCAGCAAATATTTCCCTCTCCCTCCAGGGCTCCACGAGGCTGGACTGGCACCCAGCACTGCTCACCATCCTGAGAGCCCTCCAAAACGTGGCCATGGAGTGGGAGGTTTCACCATGGCATCCCAGGGCAGGAGGCACTGGGCTTGGTCAAGTGTTACTTGCTTGATGATGGGATTTTGGGTTGTGGCTTTTGCTGGCACCAGGGCACTGACTCCCATAAAATCCCTTCCCAGCTGGTGGAGGTTCTGCTCCCCTTGGGGCTGGTGGGGTTTGTGTCCACATTCCTTGTCTGTATCCCATCCTTGGGTCATAGAGGATCTGACTGTTTTTCCCAGTGAGCTTAATTTGGGCTTTGATATAAGTAGTCCTGAAAGGAGCTGGCAGAGTGTCCACACCTGCATCCCATGCCTGGGAGCTGCTTTTGGGAAACAGGGCTGGGGCATGGCTGCCTGCAGGTGCCAGGTGGGACATACCAGTATTTCCAGCTTGCTGCAGCCTAGGGAAGTCGATGCTGGGCAAGTCAGCACTGCCAAACCCTTTCCTTTACTTACATGGAAGTTTTCTTGGGAAATCATGGCACCAGCAAAAGCAATAAAAGCATTTCCATG